ATTCTTTGTGTCTTCCTGGTTATTTTAACTTGCATTTTGGGATGTTTTTTCTTTAAGAGCACTGGTAGTCTAAGGCTTCTATCTGTACTTCTTGATCTACATTCAGGGGGGAAGAGCTGCTTTTCCTGAAATTACACCTGACAATATGAAGGTCATCTTGTAACTGGAACAATACAGTAATAATATCACTTTTTGCACACTGAAAAAACACATTTAACTAAAACAAGATCCCCTTATTCTGACTGGTTCTTTGTGCACAGTAGTTAGCCAGCAGACTGTGCTTGTGCATCAAGCTGGCATTGCCCTGGCTGTTAGAGCTGAACCCACATCATTCATATCAAGGGTGGTTCACAACCTACATAGCTTGTGGTGGGTTGCCAAATTCAAGATAAAAAACACAACAAATCAGCTGAACAATTTATCTCAAAACATGTTGATTCTCTGATCCTCTGGCACTTAGCAGCAATCCTGTGCAGCTGATCAGACAGCAGCACTCTTGGAAACAATCTGCAGCATCTCAAGTGGTGCTGTGTAGCTGCTTGGTGTAGTTGCATGTACTCCTGTTTAGTTCACAAGTCTTAATCACTGGGAGGACAGGGAATATAACTTGGTGAAGTCTCTGGGTTCTACTAGACCAGGGGGTGCAAACATGATCTGAGGGTTGCATCCACAGGCAGCCAGAAATTAGTGGGGGGGAGTGGTCTTGGGGGCCACTGGACACGGTGATTAGCAGCAGGCAGGTGGTGGCTAATACAGCTCCAGTCACGCTCAGTCAGCTTTGCCTATTGCCACTGTTGCAGCTTTATCTCCTTAACTGCCAGTCCTGCTGCTACCCTATGTTGTTGCTGCTGCTATGTCCCATGCCCTGTGTCAGAGCTAGTGGGTGTGTACATGTTCTGTGTATGTTTTATAGCACTATAATTTAGAACACTTTTGATAGCATTATACAGTTACAGGGTTCTTAAACATGACAGAACTGCAGTGTTTGGAGTGGGGGGGGGGATGGGGACTCTGAGCCTCCCTGCACTTACCAGGCTAAGAGGTAGGGGGTGCTTTACAGCCTCCTAAGGCTTCTCCACTGCTCAGCATACAGAAATTAAATTTCAAGTGCTGGATTTTATAGCACTTTAGCAACCTACAGCACCTTTTAATGTAACATCTCGTTTAACAATGCTTAGTTTTAAAGCGCTGTAAAGCCATGCACATCAGTTAAGTCACAGCAGTAAAGCACTTTAAATGGTGAAAAAGCAATTTCTGTATACACCCTGTAAGACCTGCTTATGCAATGGGTGTAACAACTTAAGTGTTATAGCTTATATTGGTACAATTGTAACAATTGCCTATAGCATTGGTGCTCAATTTTGGCCCTGTGGACCAGGTGAATGTGGTATATGGGGGATCCCTGCATGTTGAATGTCAGGGCACCTGGGGGCAGATCTTGCCTACAAGCTGGAAGTTGAGCACTCGTAGCTTATACCTTACAACAGTGAGGCCAACCTGTTTAGCAGGCAGGTCACAAATTAGCCCTGCACTCTCTCCAACTGCTGCTTTGATCTTCCTCTGCCCAGTCTGTTCTGCTTTCTACTATGCTCCCTGTCTGTTTTGTTTTGTTTTGCCTTAATACTTTCCCTGTCCCCTCCCTGATCTGTGGTGTTCCACACAGGCTGCCCGTGCCACATGGGGTACTCATGCCTCAGTTTGGCCACCCATTTTTAAAGGAATAATTTGTTAACCCTTTAGTTTCTTTTAAATTGCTTTATATTGGCTCAAGCCAGGGGTGGGCAATTATTTCAGGCGGAGGGCCGCTTACTGAGTTTTTGGCAAGCTATCAAGGGCTGCATGACAGACAGCCGGGGCAGATAAATATTCATTTTAGGGGCCCTGCAGGCCAGATAGAATGCCATGGCAGGCCGCATCTGACCTGCAGGCCACATTTTGCCCAACCCTGGCTCAAGCTATGGATGAGAAGGTACTTCTTGATTGGAATGTAGTTCAAGTCTGTAACAACAGAAGTTCAGTGTACATAAATGGCTATCAAAATGACCGAAACCAGTTTAATATAAATTTGCATGGATGTAGTATTGGACTTAACTGGTTTAGGTTAAATCAGTTCATTAAATTTCTGTCCTAGATCCCCTTCAGATTCAAGAGTAACTTGGTCCCCCAGCATCCCAGGATGATTTGCACCTCCACCTCTCTCTTTCCTTCCCCCCCCCCCCCCCCCCCCCCCGGGGCGACGGGGGGGG